CTATTTCAGTCATGAAGACTAAATACTCCCTATTTTCATTGAACACAGACTTTTTAAGAGAAGGCTGCATACTGGATGTTGCACCCATTTCCAATGTGTAATCTGCAATCTTGTGTGGTAGGGAAAAAAAGCAGAAAAGATTAGGCAATCCAGCATCATAGTATGGAATATGTCAGCATGTGTTTGAAATGAGTCTATTACTTAGGGATGTCATGCAGGCTACTGGGAGCTCCTGCTGACAGGAGAAACCTCCTCCATCCCCTGCATTGCTACTTGTATTCCATTTACAGAAGAAATGTTTGAGGAACATCTAATGGTATTTAGGTGTAATTTATTTTCTCTGCAATTTATAAGCATTCCAACTGCTCAGAGGAATCTACAACTAATTTTTAAATAATTTGAATAATTTATGCCTTAATTTTCTAATGTTTTGACATCTCAAATCTACCAAAGTATCTGGGAACTTCTGAACACTGCTGGGGTGAAAATTTCATTTCTAGCAAGAGACTGAATTGTAAAATGGCAATTCTTAAGTAAAGGAACTATTGTTGATCCCAGTCTGATTTTTGTATCCCACTTAACCATTTCTCTAGGTTGGGATTAAATAAAATCCTTGTGGTCTCTTTCTTTATCCGTTTTTCTGAAAAAAAAACCAAAACACCATAGTTTTATCCTTCCTATGGCAGCAGTTACCTAAAATCTATTTGCCTGAATTGCCAGTAAGATTTATTTCCAACTGTATACTGAAACAAGATATTCTACAGAACATTTTGAATACATACCTAATATGGATTGCTGGAAAACATTGCTATTGAGAAGTCTGTTGCCTATATGAGAATTAATTCAACCTGCTGGCAATCATTAGGCAGCACAAAATGCTCATTTGAGCAGGGAACTGGACCAATTTGCCAGTGAAATGAAAGATATATTAATATTGCTTTACAAATGTAATTACTTTGAATGTGTCACTTTCCTTTGACTTTAGGCTCCTCAGCTCCCTTGGGTTCATCAGGCAGAGGCAGCTACACAGAATGGGTGCATGTGGCAAGCCAGGAGAATACATCCGCTGCAGCCTTGATGGCCCTTTTGTGGTCCAGCTTCTCAGGAAGAGGACAGATGCATGGGAAAATAGCAGGAGAGTGAGGTGGTGGCTTATTTTGGCTGTTACACTAGATTCTCGTGTTTGAAGAAAGGAAAGCCTTTGTTTCCCTGCTTCTGTCTCAGTAGGATGATGCTAACAGAGCTGCACAGGCTCTTAAGCAGTCTGAGTTACAGGAAGTCAGTGCCAGCTGTAGGTGGGAGCAGCTGAGTAGTACTAACCACTGCTGGTGTAACTGCAGTTATTTGTGGTTCCTCTTTGTCCACATTTGGCAATCCAAAACTCCAAGGACAAGTAAAACAGATTTCAGTGACTTGTTGTTTTCCTTTGCCTGCCATCTTGAATAGTGCCTTCTTGGTGAACACTAGTGATGACGCAACCTGCAATCTTGTTGGCTTCTTTTGCTCTTTGAGTAATTCCTGGGGCTCGGTAGGTGCCATGCTGGCAGCTGACTTACTGGTGATGGCTACAAACTTCTGACTTTCCTTACCTCTTCACATGCCACTTTCCTTCTCCCAGATTGCTAGCTGCAAGCATGGGCCAGCCAGGTCCATGTTACTCACTGTTGGACAGCATCAGTTCTTGAAAAGACTGTTAAAAATGTATCTATACCAGCTATACTGCCGTATAGCACTGTTGCAACCCCTGTTTCTGTGCTGCTGCTCCTCCAGATGCTGTACACGTTGCAAAGACAGGCACAAGGACAAGAACTGCCCTGTTTGCATTTTCAAGCACCATAGCAGTCTGCAGTATTAAGTTAGCAGGGACTGCAGACAGGTTTAAACTTCCAAAACCCAAGGAGCTGCTACTATTGTCACCTTATGCAGTGTTACCACAATAAACTAGTAAACAATATCAGACTTGACTTGTTCTCATTTTAAGTTCCTCATTTGAAATGGAATGGCATCAGCTGCTTAATATCATTTGTGTCCTTAAATATTCTGCAGGGATACCTTCCGAAAGCCTTTTGTTTTTTCAAAGTTATTTCCTGTAATATTGTGCGTGATGAGCCTGAAAGACAGGGAAGTAGTCAGCACTTCAGTGCTTTGCATACAGAAAGAGGCTCTGTTAAAGATAAGGGATGGATCTCCTGTTGCAGGACAAGCGTTCAAGGCTCTGTTCCACTTCAGGCTCCTTGTGTGGTTTGGAAACATCTCTTACAGGCAGGTATTTGTATGCTGTCATAATTGCATACTGGTGCCTATATTCTTCCTCTTAAAAAAAAAATCTGGTATGTGCACAGATTTGACTGTATTTCTGTGCCTTGTTTTCACAAAGGAAGATAGTCATGTTTTGTACCCAAGGCATGTTGGAAAGAAATACATTAAGGACTGTGAGGTCATCTGATGCTATTTTAATAGGCACTCTATAAGCATTTCAAATAATAGGTTGTATTAGGCAGTGAGACCAACCTTGTTTCTTTAAAATGAGTTTTGATTGTAAAGTCAGTGAAGTAAAAACACACTGTATCCCTCACCTACTCCTTCACAAATGGCTGATTTAGTTTATGGCAACAAAATGAGAGCTGTAGAGCGTGGCCTCAGCCTCCTTCCAGGTAGGTTGAGAAGGATGGCAGCCATGTGCCAGATCTTACCAGTGGCAATGAAAAAGGAGCAATCCTAGGTTATGTGATGACATTGTACCATCTTATGCAACAGTGGGTACTGGAACTCTTATTCTTTACATCTCGCAGAGCATAAAAAACCTTGTCTCAATATATTTAGCTATTTCAGTAAATATTATGACAGTACTTTTGTTTGGCAATAACTATACCCTGTCCTTGTTGGTTGTTTTCTTTCATGTTAGAGTTCATTTAAACCTTTCTGAAAATAATATATTAATCACTTGAACACTGAACATTCACATTTTACATGTCATTTTTTACTTCAGCTATGAAATTTAGCATGGAAGGGGCTGCTTCCCTAAAGCCAAACAATCTTCCTATTTCTGTTTTCCAGTCCTTACCAGAACCAAATTTGTCATGGTGACAAAGGGGAAATGAAAAAAGTAATGCTCAAAATCTTAGACTGAAACTCCTTTGTGCAGAGGAAGGTGAAGGAAACTTCATGGCCTGAGTTTTAAATAGTGATTATGACAGTTGTTTAGTTTGCATTCCTATTGATACTTTCACCAAACAAGCTTTCTGTCTCATTGCAATGTAATTAAAAAAGAATAACAATGGAGAGGAACACTTTAAAAGTAGTATTGTGGCTCCATAGTCTCTAATTAAAATGTAGATAAAAGACTAACTGGTGGATAAACACAGGCCATGCTTCTCCAGTTCCTGAGTTGTTCTCTGATCTAGTCAGTGCCTCTCTAATTCCCCCATCCAAACTCTGATGCTGTTTCACCTGATTACGCCTCTGCATTTTTTTCTGAGGAAAGTTCGATGTATTTGCTCTAGAAGAAAAAAAGTGGGTGCACACACACACACCCCCAATCTATATCTTTATTATTAAGGTTTTAATTGTCAGCTACCACTGAACACTTGTATTTTGTGTGGGTTTTGTGTAGCAAGGTCTGATTTCTGGCTGGGTTATGGCCAGAGTTTGGTTGTTGCTCTGTTTTCTTGCATCCCTTCTTTTCCCCTCTTTTGATATGCAGAGAGAAATTTGGGGGACTGAGATATGTTAAAGAGGCAAAGCATTATTTGGTGACCTATGTGTAGTAATTCTCACTTGTCACTATAAATACATTCCTGTGTTACTGCATCCATATAAATGCATTCTTGTTTAGACAGAAAAAAAACAAGTGTTAACAAAAGCTATTTCTCCTACTGAAATCCAGTAAGCTTTATCATTATGCCATCTCTTACTTCTAATAAAAATTGCTTAATTGAAGTCATGTTGCTACTTTTGTGTAAACCATTTTGAATGTTATGGAGATCTATGCTCTATCTATCTCAGAGTGCAGGCTTACAAATGTGTTAACAGTTACCTAATTTGACGTTTGTATGTGCACTATTACTCACTGTTAGGCAGTGTCAGTTCTTGAAAAGACTGTTAAAAATGTATCTAAGCAGTACAGGGTAATAAATCCAGGCTGTAGCCTTTTGTAGTAGATCAGCTGATGTGTCAGCAGTTGGCGAGTCTGATAAATCAGTTCAGCCAAGTGAACCAGGTTAATACAAGGATTTTACATACTTTGCTAACCAGCAAAACCTGAACCAGAACTGTGTTACAGTATGATTACTTTAGCAGCTTCTCCAGAGTCCTGAGGATTTTGTACTAAACAGCAGCATGACTTAAGTGCTGTTAGGTCAGTTGCCTGTGTCCTCAGACTGGTCCAAGCAGCATCTCGTATGATCAGATGTAGCCTTCTATATAGTGATGGGTGTATTCTGAGGGTTTAGGCAGAAACTAACTTTTCCCCTGGAAATTTTATATAAATATCATAGCACTTCTGTGCTAAAAAACAAACCACACAGTTCTAGACCAAAATCTGATTTTGCCTATAACAAAAATTTATGCCTATGTATTAGCATATCTTCAGGGATATAATTTTTAAATGGGGGGGGGACAACCCCTAATGACTCCTTAATAAACATTTTGTGTGGGAGCACATCTCTTTCTGCAACAGGCAGGCGGGTGGAGACTGGCAAGTAGATGCAGCTTCTTGGCTCTTGACAAGGACTGTGGAAGAAGTGTTTGATGGTGGGACATTGGGGATGAAGGTTATAAGCAAGAGACTATATTGCAGAAAAAAGCATAAGCATGTGACAGGATGGGTTAAAAGATAGCCAAGAGGCAGCCTGGGGGCTGTCATGGCTCATGCACAGGAGTTGAATTCCTCAGCTGTTTTCCAACATGTGTGTGTTAAGATTGCCACTCTTGAATTTTAAACGAAAGGTTTTGACTCAAACTCCATAGCCACATAAATAGCTCAATAAATAGTTTTAATTAATAAGAGAAAAAAAAAGAGCTTTTTATTTTTGTAACTTGTAAACAGAGAGAGGCAGCTTTCTCTGCTTATTAATCTATATGTTACAAATCATTGCTGTTATTAAAAATTCAGCTTGACTGATGAAAATTCATGTTTCACACCTTTTTGGCAACACAGGAGCAAGCTGTTCAGCTGAATTCAGAAGAATTACTGGGCTGCTTTGTTTTAAATCAATCTAAGGAGTACCTATAGGGTTTCTTAAAGTTGTTTCGTTTCAGAGCACACAGTTTCCGATGACTAAAGAAATATTTACTAAGACTATATAAAAATGTGCTTCCCCCTTCAGAATAAAACAACCCCCTGCCACATCTTCACAAGGACCCCTTGGTCCAGCAAGTAGCCCTATGACTCACCTCTTCCCTTGCATCGCCACGAAAGGTTTTCACATGGAAAATAACAGGGTGTCTTCAGCTGCGTCAGTAACCACCATCAGCACCAGCTAATGCTGCTCAGATACATCTTGTAAATATTCCTGGAAGTCACAAGAGGAGGATCAGAAATGCAGGGCCACCTCCCATGGGGAAATGAAAGGAAAGACCCATGCAAATGCTAGCACCAGCTGAGCTGCCCGCTTGCCACTTCACATGGTGCTTAATCCAGCCTGTGCCAGTCCAGGCAGTTTTACAATGTACTTTTGACAGCTAGCAGTTTGATAGCAAAATACGTCACGCTGATGTTGATATTGTCAATGCACTGGCTGCCACTGACAGGAGGAATGAGACTGCCACCTGAATGTCTCTGTTGCTCGAGAGAATAAGCACTTTCTGCTTCTCCAGTTTCAAGACTCTAACATGGCAAATTATTTTTTTTTTCTATTCTTTTAGATTAGCCTTATTTAATAAAGGCTTTTGATGGATTACGAATCCAGCAATTTCATTTAGTGATAGTTATATTCCATTTTGCCATGTACTGTAACGTAGGTAGTTAAGTATGTATTTTGTAAGCATTTTAAAACTTGAAAACATAAGAAAAAAAATTAATTGCAACAGACTCTTGCCTGCCTACATACTGTATTTGTTTAATGTCGATTTCTTTTCCCATAGTAGTGAAATGCCATATCTATATTTAAAATCTGAAGTATTGACAAAATCTTCTGAGCACACAAAGCTGTTTTGGCAAAATAAAAGAGTGCCTGCCATGCTGCAGCTAGAAAAATGAAACGGCTCGTCAATTCACCAAAAATCTGCCTACAGACAAGGCGTTCTCCAGCCTTCAGGAAACCTGATGCTTTGCTCACGCAGGAAGAAATCCTCACCACGCTGAAGTCGGTGAGAAACCTCCGCTGATTTTAGCAGGGCCAACTGCTATGAGATTGACAAGGCTATTATTATGCTTTAAAATTAAACTTATGCACATGCATTCACAAATAGGAACCATAACAGCAGAAAGGCTTAATGCAACAGTTATCAGGGAAGTGAAAAATTCAGAAAGAATATGCTGCAGCTTGAGATTAATGTGTTACAAAAAATTTAAACAGAAGGTCAAACCTCTTTTTTTTCTTAGTGTGTCAAAATCTCACATTTCTTCAGCTGTCACAGAACACTGTTAGAAATGGAGACAGAATTTTCTGGTTGAAGTGTGGTTTCTCAGAGACTGAACTAGTATTTATTTTAAAATTACTCCTAAATTATTAATTACCCACTTAAAAGCATAAGCAAACATTTGGCCTGTAGCATCTCTATAATCTTTCACACTAGAAAACCACAAGATTTCTATGTAATTACTTACCAAAATAAAGCACCTTTTCTTTTTTTTGTGTGGCAGTTTTGTTTGTAAATGTTTTATTAAAAAAAAAACTTTTAATGCTATTAGTCAATACATGTGTAATAATACTTAATAAAGTATCACATAGTAGTAGGTATTTTGGATTCAGGAATGCAGTGGTTTTAACTAAATCATCAGAGCTCTGTTCTGCTCCAGTCTCTTCTGAATTGTCTTTTTTTCCCCAGAATTTAAACAAACTCATTCTTTGTCAAGGTACGTCATCCTTAAGGCCTTGCAAACTTTTTAGTGATTGAACCAAAACAAAGAGAGAGCTCATCTTTCTTGATGTGAAGACCACGCTGCTCTTGAGCTTAAAAAGATGCCTGCAGTTTTCAAGCAGTCAGTGGTAAATCAGCAAGAAAGAAATCAGAGGAGAAGGGGCACTTGGAAATCAAAACAGTAAAGTGCACAGTTACGCTGTCTGAAATTGTATTAATCTGATCCAAAGAACTTTCTGGACTGTGGATATTTAATACAATTTGGCTTGCATGAAATATACAATCACGATCAGACAGAAAGGATTTTCTTTTTCTTCCTGAAGTCATCTACAGGCTATATGGAATTCAATTTTCAAGGGTAACATACTGCAACTCTTTGGATATTGATTGGTTTCCTAAGTCAACAAGGAGATGGAGAAGGGGGAGAGGGTGTGGAGGGTTGCAAGGTGTCCTTGTGCCTTCTGTTTTTCTTAGATGCCAGTACTCTCCAGTTCCCCATCCTCCAGCCCTAATGCAGCATGCGACCTAGAAATCATAAACAGTTTCTCTTTATTTGTGTACTGTCTTTGAGTTTGCTGGGATTGCTTTGCTGTTTGCTCTCTGCTGGTAGCCTTGAGGGGGTCTGTCTTCTCAGGTGGTTCCTCCTCACAGTCATGGATTTTACTGGCTGAGGTGTTGGCAACTGACTCCAAGGAGGTGCCTGCCTCCTCCAGGTGGCTGTAGCCCTTATTGTTGCTGGAAGGCTCAGACTGGGAGCTCTGGGAGTCTGTCCTGATGATAGCAGGAGGGGATGAGGGGGGCGACTCCCCCAGATCAAGAGATTTGGAGTAGCTAGAAGATGCCTTTACCAAGAGGCTAGAGTCCAGGTCCCTGCTGACAGCGGGGGACCGAGGTGGCTCTGGGGAAAGGGGACACCTGGCATCAGGCAAGCAGCTGGTACTCTGCCGCCTGAGAACCAGCTTGTGCCTCCTCATCCCACAGCCTCCCTTGATGTGACTGCTGCTGAGGTCAGTCAGGCTCAGTTCAAACTCCCCCCGTGGTATCTCCCGGGCTCCCCTCTCACCAGAGGGCCTCCTCCATCCTCCCCCTCTGCTGCTTGGTGCCAAGGGCAAGAGGGCAAAAGCGCTCAGTGAAGAACTGACAATGGAGCTGGCTGTGCTGCACCGGCCCCAGCTCTCCGGTGGGCTGCAGGGTGGGCTAGTGACAGCATGGCCAGCAAGGTCAGTGCGCTCCTGGTAGATGCTGTACACAGCCTCGGCAAGGCTGGGCGGCTGCAGTGGGGTGCAGAAAGAGGAACACTGTGATGAGGATGCCAGCTCTGGTGGGGAAAGCGAGACAGCCAGCCCTGGTGGCCAGGAGCTCTTGGCCAGCATGGCCGCAGCACCCAGGCCTTCACCACCAGGCTTTAGCTCCAGGCTCCGGGACTGCACGTAGTTGACAAAACCATTGAGAGGGGCTGAGGCCAGGGTGCCTCCATCCTTGGTCCGCAGGCTGTGGGCATCGATGACAGTGGAGTAAAGGTCACGCAGGTTGATGATCTTGGTCTTCTTGTCGCGGTTCTCATGCAATACTGCATTGGCACAGATGAACAGGAAGATGCCGATACCCATGATGAGGGGGCCCAGCACCTTCAGCTTGTCTGAATGCAAGTAGCTAGAGAAAAGATGGAAAAGGAAACCCACTGAGGCCTGGGGGGACAAGGAGGTGGGGGGAGACTGTGGGGACCCCCAGGTGGTAGCAGTGGTGGAGGTGTTGATTCTGGGAGATGACTCTGGATGGCCCCCTGCTTGTGCCCCTTCCTGGCTTCGGGAGCGGTTCTTGGGGGTGCCACCTTGTGGCGCCAGGTGCCGGCCTCCGCTGAAGCTGCCTTCTCTGTACACCTGGCTGGGCTTTGGCCAGTAGCCCACCACAGCCAAGGCAATGCCCACCAGCAGAACGAGGATGCCACAGAGGGCGATGAGCCCCGAGAGGGAGCACAGCTTGAGCTTGCCTTTCACCACCACCACGTCATTCTTGCGCTTCTTTTTGGCCTTGCGTTTGCGCTTCGGGACTTGGCTTTGGGGTCGCAAGGGGTCCTGTTTCCTAGCTGAGATCCTCAGGAGGCCTCCAGTGGCGATCATGGCTGGCTACCCAGAGCACTGCTCCCTATGGCCACTCCAGCTCCTGCAGTGAAAAGGAGAAGAGAAAAGGGTGAGGACCAGGGGCAGATGTGCAGTACAAAAGGTGTTTCTTCTGTTCCTCATTCAGACTCCTGCTAATTAAAACCCTCAACAAGTGGGAGAAGGGTTGACACAAATAGGCTGATCTCCCTTGCCCACACAGCTCTGGTGTGTGAAGACTGACAGCATCAAATCAGTGATGTGCCCCAATATTCTCTTGCCAAAAAGCTACTTAATTTATTTACACTCTAGGTAAATGACAGGGGAAGTAGTATCTGTCAGTGTAAACAAAAAGTTGGTCTCAGAAGGAGCTTGCAAAGCACTGGAGCTCAGAGCATGCTGAGTCCCACTCCCGAGCAAGGTCTGGGGTTACACCGCACACTGACTGTAGCTAGTGGTGTCATGCAGGATGTGAGAGGATGGGGGAAATAAAAGCACGAAGGCAGCATGTTTGATCTACAGATACCATTTGTTTCATTACATGACTAACATATTACTGGGGGGAGGGTTAATACATTACTTGCCTGTCTCAAATGAGTGGGAAAGTCACAAGGGAAACATTTGTACACTGGAAAGCGGTGCCCTGCAAAAGTTACTTCCTATCCACTTGCATTTGATCTGCAATATTACAGAAATCCATCTCCTGCCTGCGGTCCAGAGGCATCCCTGGTTTGGGAACATGTGCGAAGCTCCAGGTAACGGTTATGTAACGGTGGCGAATTCCCCGCCCCCAGAAAGAGGAGATGGTGGCTGACAGGTAAGGGATGGCATGTCAAATCTTACTAAAGGCAAAGTGAACCCTTTCCAGTCACCCGGGGAACTGACAATGATCGCTTGGAGGAAACTGGCAGGGGGCTAAACGTTCAGCACTCATGGCTTTTGTTCTGCCAGACCATCAGAAGTCAGCTCTCAGTTCCAATGATCCCAGCTACAAAACACAGCGTGTAGGAGCGATTCCTGCACTGTTGCAATTCTTTTTGGAAGATATCATTCATGCTACCGCGGAGCAGGACCGTCTTTCCGCTTTCCCATTCTGAGTGTCCGATTATTTTTTCTTTGAGGGAGCAAAAGATGACAGCACCGAATATAACACGATTTACAAAGTTCAATTAATTGCACTGAAAGTCGATAGAGAAAGCACCTTAAAAAAAAAAAAACAACAAAAAACTTGCTTCCCTTCCCCCGTACAGCTTCTAAATCTCATTTCTTTTCTATTCCATTCCCAGATTCGCCATGTATGCGGTAATTTCGTGTCCCATTTACTCCATTTGTATTTTCCCCCGGAAAAAGGAAGGTATTGTCAGAGGGGACATTGTTAAATTACTCTCCAAGGTACTGCACGCTCAAAACAAAGAGCAGAGAGTTGTCTTCTCTTTCCTATCACTGAACTATTTATTTATTTAAAAAAAAAACAAAACCCACACAACATTTTTTGTTGACGCAAAAGTGTAATTATCGGGGCACCCTTTGCTTTAATTGCCGGTTCGCTGGTCTCATTCCTTCTGCTGCTCCACTAGCCAGCAGCCCGTCTCCTCTGCCACGGCGAAGGGAGATAGTGATCAGCTCTTCCCAGTCCGGCATCGCCTGGCACTTAGTTCTGGCGATGGAGAGCGCGGAGCTGGGCATGGGAAGGAGGGCACCGCCGGACAGCCGGCCATTGCCAATGACCGCAACGCAATGAAGCAGCCCGGGGTTCGCAGCAGGGGCTGGAGCCACCTCTCGCACGAATTGACCGCGACCTCCACTAGAAACCCCTCGCCGGCGGCTTCTTCGGCGAGCCCTCAAGCACTACCCGGACCTTGCTCGGTAAAGACCAAATGCATTTTTAACAGTATTAACAGATTCGGTTTAATCCCTTCCCATCCCTCGGCCGCCACAGACGGGGCTGGTCGGGATCCTCCGCCAGGGCACCGGCTGAAACGCGCCCGGGCACGAGACCGAGGGCGCCCGCCGGGGGCTGCTGCCGCTGGGTCCCCCGGGAGCGCCAAGCCGCCCGGGCTGGCCTCGCAGCTCCCCGCTGTCGGGGCAGGGCGCCGAGTCCCGCGGGGCGGCAACCCCAGTCGTTCCCACCACACCCCCCGGGGCGTCGGTCGGGGGTCGCGGGCGAACGGAGCCGCCGCTCAAGATGGCAGCGTCGGGGGTACGCGGTCACTTACCGAGGAGGACCGGGGAGAAGTCCGCTCGGGAAGCGGCCGAGCCGCCGCGGGGAAGAAACTTTCCGGCCCGAGCGGGCATCCCCGCGCAGCGCCCGCCCCGCCGCGGCCGCTGCCGCCTCGCCGCCCCTCACGGCCCCGGGCGGGCGGGCGGCGGGGCTGGGCCGAGCGCTAGGCGCCCCCTCGGCCCCGCCGCCGCTGGCCGTCTCAGGGAGCTCCGCGGGAGCGCTGCCCCCTCTCCATACCGCATCCTTCCGCCGCGGGGCCGTCCCCCCGGCAGCGCGCACCCGCCAGCCCCTCTGCCTGTGTCGCCGCTGCGGGCGGTGCGCGGCTGCCGCGGCTGCGACCGGACTCGGCGCGGTTGCTAGGAGACGGGAGCCGTGACACAGGGAAATTGCGGCAGGATGGCCGCGGCCGCCTCCCCCCGCCAACGCCACCTGCGCACCTGCGCCCGCCCGCCACCGCCCCGCACCGCCTCGCGGCGGCACCGCCCTCCGAGGCACCGCCCCGCACGGTCTCACCTCGCCCCGCCATGTTGTGCGTGCTGGGACCTGCCGTGCCCGGCCGCAACCTGCTCGCTGACCTTTTCTTCCCCCCGTCTGACAAGTGTCTGGCCTCTCATCCTCCGTTCCTCCCCGACTCCCTCAGTCCATCCCAGGACTCACCATCTAGGAGCTCAGTAGTGAGATGGCGGGAAGACCCTCCACATCCTTTCCACCAGTGTCGGTGATGTCTCATCAACTTCAGGCTCAGCCACCCCACCTTTGGCTATTTCCCTCCAAGGCTGCAGGAATTCCAAGAAAGAAAGCCAAGAACCAGGTGAAAAGATCCAGAAAAAGGACAAAAGTAGAAAGTGGCAGCTGAGATACGTCAGTGGTGTCACCCAGGATCTCTTGTTTTCAGCAGAAAATGGGAAACAGTGCTCTCTTCTGAGCTGCTGTGTAAAAACTGATTAAATTGAAATTATCACCTGAGATAAAATCTAGCATGTCCTATCACATTGCCTCTCTTATTCATGAGAGGAGATTACTGCTGTTTGCTCTAGTCAAGTCTTGTCACAGGTCCATCATGAGCTAGAAAGGCAAATCTCAATCAGGTATCTTGGTAAATAGAGAAAACTCAGCCTGTGGCTTGGGTTTGCTCCTAACGTACATTGTGTGGTTTTTGGGGGGCTGGATGGACCAAACCTGTCTTTTTATGCAGTGGCCATAGATCCCTCTTGAAGCCGGAGTGTGAGCTAGCCTGGCCAAACCAGCTTTCTTCCTCTGCTGGACATCTCTTGGGAAGGCTATGCTGCGTGTAAAGCAGTTTGCCAGAAACTAAGGGGCAATAAAGAGAACATTTATAGTGTTGAACTGTTTTTAAAAATAAAGGATCCAACACGGGTTGGAAAAATTGCCAGAAAGATTGTGCATAATTGATTACATTTTATATGTTCCAGCCTCAACAATTCTGCGATTCTGTTTCATCAATGCCTGGTTTGAGAACAAACAAATCCTAAAGCTGCACATATGCATTTTAATGTCATTTGCAGTTTGTCTCGGCAAAATCATTTCGGACACATTTCTTTTACTACAAATATAACTTTTGGTTATGCAACAGGCTTGGAATTCAAGTTTTATTATTTAACAACTTCCTTTAAAAGTGTGCTTTGAATGGTCTTGATGGACCCAAGTCTTCTGACATTCAGTAATTTGCTTTGTGTTCAACCCAGACTTCAGAGAAAAACAAACATACCACATCTGTTTCCACTGGAGACCTGTATCACATCAATAATGCAGCATCACCAGACTCTCCCTGAAAGGCTCCTGTGTTAGAGAAAGAGGAAGAATGAAAGTGATTTTTTTTTAAAGGGCAAAGAGCTCTTTTCCCTATCTGAGTCATATTTTCTATTTCTGTCAAACTAAACCATTCTATTTAGCTATCTTTTTATACAACAGCCTTTCCAGATTTTCACTGCTAAAGTTTTGAGTGATCAGGCTATTATCACATTCAGAGTTTTCAAATTACTCTTAGCCAAATGTGTTGTAGGTGAGGGCAAACCCTGGAAGATAAGAAATATGTTCTTGGATGAAAAGCTGCTGAAGGTGTTGTTCCACAGTAGCTAGCAGTGCAATCTTAATTTGCTTTATGTGGTAAGGACCAGTTGTATAATGCCAGGCTGAGTCCCTCAGAGCAAGTTACCTTGCCGAGTTGCAATATCCTTGCTTATGCTACAGATTATTAGTCTTGTTTAACAAATGCATTGGGAGCTTTAGTGAAACATTTATTTTATTTTTAGTTTATACAGATTTTTGTGTCCCCAGAAGTGGAACGGTTGCAAAAGGCATCCCTCCTATTGTTCTGGTTTAATGGTTTGTCTGAGTTAATTTGTAACTGTCTGTGTTTGCATTGACTCAGGAGGCTCAGCTCCTGCTTTGTTTGTGTAACTTTCTGCATGATGCTGTACATTCATCATTAAACTGTAGTGAACATGAATATTAATTAGGAAATCCAAAGAGTTTATTGGACCTGGGTTTTCTTTCCACTTTCTCCTTTCTGCTTTCTCATCCCCTTTTCCATTTCCCTTTCCTGTCCCTTCTCCCCTTCTTCCCCCTTTTTCCATTCTCCTTTCCTCTCCCTCTTCCTCTCCTTTCCTCTCCTCTCCCTCCCTTCTTTTCTCCCTCTCTCCCTCTTGTTTATCTATATAAAAATCAGTAATTTTTAAGACTGTGCTTTTTTTTAGGTTGTTTGAGCATAAGATGGTAACCTTGATGTGGTCCTTCCTGGGACATGGCTTCAGTACAACAATGCCATCAATTTTAGTATACCCACTTCAGTAGGTTCCACCCCAGGCTGGCTCTGGGTATGTCAGCTTTAATCCAGGAGATGTGTAGCCAAGTTAATACATCTCAGCCCCCAGTAGGCCTAAGGTCCAAAACCAATTCAAAGGACAGCTTGAAGTACTTGGTATAGTTATCTGAAATACTGTAGCTTCTATGGGTTCCAGCCATGGACCTACAGTTCTTAGTGCAGAGACCGTGCAAAACAAAACCAGAGAGAGGGCCCCTACTCAATATACTTGCAACCAGAGCACAAAATTAAAAGGACAAATATGAAAAGGATTCTTAGAGGAGTAGTTGATACTAGTAGTTAAGCATAAGAGAGAAATGTTTTGCACAGGCTTCAGACTTTTCCCAGTGATTTATCTTTACAGTTTCTCAAACACAGAGTAACAGAAGTATCAGAGTCCTTGCCATCTTAACCTGTATCTTGCTAGCAGAATGGCTTTCAGTTGTAACAGTGGCTCTAGACTGAAAGCCCATTTTAATTGTAGCTTATTTAGCAATTTTTAATTAGCTAATTTATTGCATTAATAAAAATAAAAGCTGATGTACATCTTCTACATATGCTTTACAGTATGTTGTGCTATATGCCAAGGTTTCCTGAGTCTTTATTGCTGGAAATCCTAGCTTCGTCTTATTCAATAGCTAGGAAAGTTGTAAGAGCCGTTGGTCTCAAAGTGTTTGCTTTGTCTTACCTTAGCCCTGTATACTTTGTTAGTTTGTTTCCCATTGCAGGGGAAATTCTGATATGATTAGTGGTGGAGACTCTGGTATGATTTATGATGGTTCGATAACCAATGCAAAGGAAAACAGCAGCACTGGGAATGAACAATGAGAAATCATCCTCACTGAGAAAATATATGTTTGAAATCCTTACAGGCCTACATCAAACACAGCGAATCCTCATTGTGTATTAGATTCATCTGTCTTATTTGATATGTGGTAGAATCAGAAGCAACTTTTCATTGTGTAGCAAGCCTGAGTCTAGATAATCCACTGAGAGCGAATAGCAATTTGCATGTCTGCTCTTCTTTCAAAATTAATTATAGCAGAGATACACATTGCTGGAAACATTTACCCAGGCAAAGGAAATACATAGACATGAAATCTGGTGATTGTAAGGTAAAAGGAATGAATACGTGAAAATGAGCAAGCTTTTTCACACACACAAAGAAAAACAAAAACCAAAAAGAAAAAACGAAAGAAAGAAGGAAATACTAGTTTATCTCACTTCAGTTCTTACTGGCATTCGTAAAATCAGAGAATCGTAGAATAGTTAGGGTTGGAAAGGACCTTGAGATCATCAAGTTCCAAACCCCCTGCCATGGGCAGGGACACCTCACACTAAACCATGTCACCAAAGGCTCTGTCCAACCTGGCCTTGAACTCTGCCAGGGATGGAACATTCACAACTTCCTTGGGCAACCCATTCCAGTGCCTCACCACCATCACAGTAAAGAACTTCTTCTTTATATGCAATCTAAACTTCCCCTGTTTAAGTTTTAACCCTTTACCACTTGTCCTATCACTACAGTCCCTAATGAAGGGTCCCTCCCCAGCATCCCTATAGCCCCCCTTCAGATACTGGAAGGCTGCTATGAGGTCTCCACACAGCCTTCTCTTCTCCAGGCTGAACAGCCCCAACTTTCTCAGCTTGTCTTCATACGGGAGGTGCTCCACTCCCCTGATCATCTTCAGGGCCCTTCTCTGGACTTGTTCCAACAGTTCCATGTCCTTTTTATGTTGAGGACACCAGAACTGCGCACAATACTCCAGGTGAGGTCTCACGAGAGCAGGGTAGAGGGGCAGGATCACCTCCTTCGACCTGCTGGTCACGCACCTTTTGATGCAGCCCAGGATATGCTTGGCTCTCTGGCTGTGAGCTCACACTGAAGCTGTCTCATGTTCATTTTCTCATTGACCAACACCCCCAAGTCCTTCTCCACATAGCTGCTCTGAAAAAGATTCTCTGAGAAGGTTTCTATTTTCGAGGCATTAAGGCCACTTAGCACTTTATAAATATATATATATATTTAATGGCATCTTGCAAAAGGCTTAGAACAAGAAGAGACTATGAAATGTTCTTGGGTCAATTGAGACATATTGCAGGAAGTTTTTGATGGTTGCACCCTCAGGTTGTGAACTGTGCTCAGGGGCAGATGTCACTCAGTTGCTTTTAAATGTTCTGTGCATGACTTCTCATCTGGCTTAAAAAGAAGTAGGAAGCATTCATCTGTGTTATTTGCCTTCAATTCTGATTTGTTGATACAAGACAACTGCAAATAACTGCAAAAACCAGTGTCTGTTACTTGTACGCACATACCCACACTGATTGATGGCTTGGCTTCGTGAGCAAAGATTTGGGAAGGGCT